TCCTTATTTAATCCCAGCCAAATTACATTCAATTCAAAATATCAAATCACTTATTCTTTATTATTTGGCTATTCATCCTCTTCGCTGCAAACTCACAGCAGGGGTCTGGACTCGTTTTCTTTGCGATGAAGAACAGTTTGCATATTCAGAAACATACTGATTTTAATTAACATCTACTTTCCACTTATGATCTCTATTTCATAAAAATAATCATTTTATTTTATAGTACAACAACATAAAATTATAATATGAATATTTCCATTTTTAATGTGATAATTTTCAAATGTTACACCAAAAAGGTTTGAATGTAGACAGCCCTTAAAGCTTCTCCCTCGTTAGGAGCAGGTTCGTTACATGCAGTATTTGTGATTTGTGACCCTGCAGCACAAAAGCAGTGTTAAGTCGCTGGGGTATATTTGTAGCAATAGCCAACAATACATTGTATGGGTCAAAATTATACATTTTTCTTTTATGCCAAAAATCATTAGGATATTAAGTAAAGATCATGTTCCATGAAGATATTTTGTAAATTTCCTACCGTAAATATATCAAAACTTAATTTTTGATTAGTAATATGCATTGCTAAGAACTTCATTTCAACAACTTTAAAGATGATTTTCTCAATATTTAGATTTCTTTGCACCCTCAGATTTTCAAATAGTTGTATCTCGACCAAATATTTAAAAAAAATTGACCACATTTGATAATCGCACTAACCAATTTTAATTACTTATTTAATTTAAATGTAAATAAATTTGGATAAACTGTATCATGCAGCCATTGTACAAAACTGGCTAAAAATGTATGAATGGCACTTCTGCTATTTAACCAGTTACTGGAGATGGTACAATTGTAATTGAGGGTATATAAGTTTAACTAGAGTAATGGTGACGGCTGTGACGCAGAGCTGAAGCAGTAAGAAGGACGTACCGGATTGTTTCTGTCAGGCTGAATCCTGTAACGTGTGATGAAGTTTGGCTTTCCAGTCGAGTCCACCACCATCAGGAGGGCGTTAAACAACCAGAAAGCCAGCGTTGGCACCAACATGGTCCCTGTTAAACACCAAAAAGAAAAGAAAAGATTTCTATTTGTGCATAAAACACTTTATTTTGGGGGAAATTATAAGATTATGAGTCATGTTCATGCATCTAATAAAAACATTTGTTGCTGCAAAATACAGTGGTCTGTGTCCAAATGGTTTTAATGAAGTGAACTTGAGCTGATCTGAGTCCTGACTGCAGTCAGTTCAGTCTAGAACAACAGATGCGTGAACATTTCATGATCAATGTCCAGAGGGGAGGTCATGTAAAGGTTAAAAACAACTTCTCTAACCAATAAAAAACAAGGCCGCCTCATTTCCACCCAAGGCTTGGTGAAGTTTGGTCCACTGTGTTTGCCAGAAATCTCCCGACGCTCCCCAAAACCTCTGCAGATGCCTGCAAACACAAACAGATCGTTAATAACTGATGCTCAGCAAGAACCAGGATTACAAAGAGCACAGGCGAAATGCTTACCATGTCACTGAGTTCCTAAACCCCACCAGGAAGAAAAGCCCAGATCCAATGACAAAAGCGGCTTTCTTCAACGAATCCCAAAGTCCTCCTGTATTCTCCTTTTTACAGAGATGATCATATGATTAACATCCTTGTAATTACAAGTCAACTAATGCATAAAGTTCGATCACTTTATAACTAAACTGGTTCGTGCACTTTTTCACGAGCAGTGAAAAGCTTGTGCACACTTACACTTTCTACTTTTCAAATAATAATAATATTAATAGAGTAAATTCACCCACACTATAAAATAACTCCACATTTCTGACGGGAACAGAAACAACAGCCTGTAAACTGATCTGATTTATTATTGCGTAATAGTGTTATAGATGTGCGACTACACAAGAGTTCTTCACAAGAACAGCGCTGTTTGTCTGATGTTTGTTTTCACTGATGAAATGTCAACAAACACGTAAACAAGTAAACATCGTTCGAGTCTGAAGTTCTGCTTTAAACTAAAGAATAAACCAATCTGTCCCATCAGCACCATTGCGTCGATATTTATTGTTTCTTTGTAAACTTCGGTAAAGGTTTATAACATGCAGAGCGAAACATTTGGAATGTAACACTGTAGCGATGATGATGTAACACATCTCGAACTAATGTTGTTACAACCGCGTTACACTGAAGCATCGGTGACACAGAACAAACCCAAACAACTAACCAAAAGCAGCAGAATAATGTGCAGAGAGTGTTCTAAAGTGAAGAGACTCACTCCGGCCATGATGTGTGTCTGGAGCTCCGCGCATCTGTCAGTCGCTCCGCGCGTCCGCGGCTGTTTACAGCGTCACGAGCTGATCTGTGATTGGTCGACCGCTGGTCAGCTGACACCATCCCTGCTAAATGATTGCAGCAGAGAATTATATTTTTTATAACATATCGTTATGGCAGAAATAGTAATTACCCACAGAGAGATTTATTCGTGATGTGATGATTAGCTGATCATTTTACTGGAGCCTTACATTAGCTGTGCATTTAAGACATGCGTTTGAAGGGTTTCAGGGTCCTGAAACATCAGACAGACGTTCTTGACCCTTGTAAAAATTTCTGCTGTGAGTTTTTTATTTTAAACTTTATTATGTGTGTGTGTGTGTGTGTTTGTGCGTTTAATAAATCAAATCCGATCAAACCAAACTGATGACAGACAAAGCAGAATCCCAGAGATTCATCAGAAAGTTACAAATATTCTATGACTTATATACAGGCTTATATAGTGTTATTATTGTTACATTTAATGTGTTGTAATAAGTGGGGTTATTATTCGGTGTTTTCCATTAATTGGATTTCAGACATATTTTCTCTTATTTTTCTCATTTCGGTTTTTCTTATTTTCTCTGGTGATAATTGGGAATCACTTAACACATTTCATTCCTCTCTACAGTCATCTGAAACTTTTTTGACGGCATGATTATTACTTTTATTGCTGCCAGTCATTCGCTGCAGTGGTGCATCTGCCCTTTCAAGTCAAGTCACCTTTATTTAAATAGCACTTCATACAGTACAGATTGTGTCAAAGCAGCTTTACAGTGTTAAGGCCCGTTCACACCAAGCACGGTAACTATAAAGATAACAATAAAGTTCTAAAAATCATTCTCAATATTAAAGAATAGCAGAGTTCACACCACAACTATAACGATAAAGGCACAGAGAAACGATATCGTTGGAATCATTTCGTATTGCATGGCAGGATATGGTACTTTTCTACCATGCAATACGAAATACCTCTAGTTTTGTTTTCCTCCAGCTGCGCTCCATTTTCCGGGCTGCTCTCTTTAGGGTGCGAGTGTGCTCATTATACCACGGTGTCAGATTGTTTTCCTTAATCTTCCTTAAGCGTAAAGGAGCAACTGTATCTAAAATGCTAGAAAAGAGAGAGTCCATAGTTTCTGTTACATCATCAAGTTGTTCTGAGGTATTGAATATACTGAGGAATTGAGACAAGTCAGGAAGATTACTTACAAAGCAGTCTTTTGTGGTAGAAGTGATGGTTCTACCATACTTGTAACAAGGATTAGAATTTACAGTTTTAGCTATATGAAGTTTGCACAAGACTAGATAATGATCTGAGATATTATCGCTTGGCTGCATAATTTCAACACCTTCAGCATCAATTCCATGTGACAGTATTAAATCTAGAGTATGATTTCGACAATGAGTAGGTCCTGACACGTGTTGTCTAACCTCAATAGAGTTCAGAATGTCTATGAATGCTGATCCCAATGCATCTTTTTCATTATCAACATGGATATTAAAATCACCAACAATTAAAACTTTATCTGCAGCCAGCACTAACTCATAATCAGCAAATTCTTTGATAAAGTCTGTATGGTGGCCTGTCTACAGTTGCCAGTACAAATGTCACAAGGGATTTATCATTAACACTTGTTTCTCTGGATAATGTTGTATAAAGCACCCTTACTTCAAACGAATTATACTTGAAACCAGACCTCTGAGAAATACTGAAAATATTGTTATAAATTGTAGCAACACCTCCCCCTTTACCTTTTAGACGCAGCTCATGTTTATAACAGTAATCTTGGGGCAGACTTATTTAAAGTAATGTAATCATCTGGTTTTAGCCAGAATTTATTTAAAACATTAGTTACTGTTTTGTAAAAGGTGTCACTGTGTTTCACCTGAGTTTTTGTTACTCACACAGCGTTTTCACCGGTGGGTGTCGAGACTAGATAGGGTTAGGGTTAGGTTTCCCTAAAAAAGTTACCCACTGGATCAGAGACAGAAAACAGTGCAATAAAAGATCACAAATATTCACTTAAGATCCTCATCTGACTCACAACAAATAAATCAAAACAAATTCATATATGACTGCATAATCTCTGATGATTGTCACTGTAATTAATAATACAATCATGACCATTAAAATTAAAACTATTATTTTTGTTTGAAATTGACAGCTGTTTGGGGGGTTATTTTATGCGGACAAAATAATTTTTTCCTTCTACTCAATCACTGTAATGGTTAAACAAATCAAGTACTAAATATTAAGGGTATCTGGTCTATACTACATGATACAAATATTGTACAAGTATTTGATTTTTTTCCCACCTTGAGTCCAATCTTCAACTGGGATCTGGATAATCCAGATTTTATTTTTTATTTTGTATCAAATGTATCCGTATAAATCATTTCAAACAACACTCAGTATGCGTTGTTTGAAATGATTTATACGGATACATTTGATACCGTTTTTTTTTTATTTTTTTTATAAACAATCCCTTTTCAAATCTAATATGATAGCTCAAATCTGATCAAATTTCTTTTGTACAACTGGGCCTTGGAAATATAATGCATATTTTATCAACAGTTTTTACCCGAAATGTTCTTAAACCCAGAAGCTTTTTTCCAGCAGATGTCATTCTTACATAACTCTATAAAGTTGACCCTCCAGCGGCCAGAGCACAGCGGCCTCTGCTGACAGACGGCTCTCTGGTTCTCAGTCGCGCTGTGGATTGTGGGTGTCTGGGACGTTGCCTGGGCTTGTCAGGCTTTAGCAGTGCTGGACTGAACGCGACGCGACGCGACGCCTCACCGTGCTCTCTACTGTAAGCCTTCCGCCGTCATCCACGCGTTCGCTTTCCACGCTTTTCGGTGATTCCTGCGCGTCTGCGTGCCGCGCCTCTCACTTTCGCTTCATCAGGAAGTCACCACATCTGAGAAATATGATGAATAAAACACGCGGAAGCATCGCTCTGCGCTCACTGAATCAGTCTGATTTCATCACATCAACACGAAATACTCAGCAGCAGCATGTTCATTTAGAGCGTCGTCAGTTTTGTTTTTAATGCTGATGTTGCAATGCTACTTTTTATTGTCGCTGCCACCTAACTTGTCACATGCACAAACTGTGTTCAGATGCGTTCATGTCAGAATAAAATACGACAGAATCATATTTGTGCGCTGATGATCTCGTTCACTCAGAAAAAGTGGATGTGTTTGAACTAATTACTGCTTAACATCTAGGCTACTGAAGTCTCTGATATACTGACTGATGACATATAAAGCATATGCATCATTCACAGAATATATCATAATTAGATTAGCACATAAACTTTTTATTTGCACAAAAATAACTAGTTTGAATTAATATTAAGACTTATTCTTTGTGCCAGCACGCTTTGCTGAAATGCATGGACAGGGCAGGGAAACTTCATCATGTTTGTTCTTCAGGCATCATGTCCAGTCGAGGTGGGAAGAAGAAGATCTCCAAGACGTCCAGGTCTGCTAAGGCTGGTGTGATCTTCCCTGTGGGACGGATGCTGCGCTATATTAAAAGAGGGCTTCCCAAATACAGGATTGGTGTTGGAGCTCCAGTCTACATGGCTGCAGTACTGGAGTACCTGACAGGTACGATGCATCTGTAACCATATATATCAATGCACTGCATCAGAAGCCTTTCTGTCCTCTTGAAGCTCTTGATGCATGGTGCTTTCAGCTGAAATCCTGGAGCTGGCAGGCAATGCAGCCAGAGACAATAAGAAGGGCCGCGTCACACCCAGACACATTTTACTAGCCGTCGCCAATGATGAGGAGCTTCATCAGGTAACAAGTTCAGGATAAAATATTCTCAAACCACGCATATGCAAAAATCACAGGCTTCTATTGAAAAATGGAGTGTTTTTGATGTAATGTTGTAATAATATTGGAAATTGATCTACACCTGACAACTTTGTAGATAATGCAGAGGAAAAACTGGACATACGCTAAACGACTGAGAATCACACACTATCAGACTCTCACAACAAACACGTGTTTCATTGCTAGAATAAGTATGACGAATGTCTAAAATTGGCTCAAAATACCAGACATGTTTGAAAACCTCAGACTGGATGGAATCACAGTCTGAATGCTAAAGTCAGTGTCCATCATACACTACATGATTTTCTGTGAAATCTGTCAACTCAGACCGACTGAAACCTGCAGACTGGCTCTGACGTTCCTGCTCCTGAAACTCACAGACTCATTCACTGCCTCATGATCAGTGCTTCTGGAATGAAAGACGATGAAATCATGTTTATTTTGATCAGGTGTGTTTTATGGTGCAAAGATGTGTTCCTGTCTCTGTTTAACGCTGGTGCAGTTGCTGAGGGGCGTCACCATCGCTGCCGGAGGAGTTTTACCCAACATCCACCCAGAGCTGCTGTCTAAGAAGAGAGGATCGAAAGCAAAGCTCGAAGCCTTCATCACTCCTCCACCAACAAAGAAGTCCAAGACCGCCAACAAAGCAGCTGTCAAGAAGCTGGGCACCAAAAAGTCCTCAAGAGTAAAGGTATTCATTGAACACTTAACCATAACACGTTATGCTAACTCTATCACGTCATACTAACCCTAACACATCTTACTAACGCTAACAGGTCATACTAACTCTTTACACATTATACTAACTCCAACATGTCATACTAACCCTAACACGTTATACTAATGCTAACACATCATACTAACCCTAAGATGTCATATTAACCCTAACACTTTATACTAACGATAATACATCTTATTAACTCTAACACATCTTACTAACGCTAACACGTCATACTAACTCTTTACACATTATACTAACTCCAACATGTCATACTAACCCTAACACGTTATAGTAACCCTAACACATCTTACTAACTCTAACACGTCTTACTAACTCTAACATGTCATACTAACCCTAACACGTTATAGTAACTCTAACACGTCTTACTAACTCTAACATGTTTCACTAACCCTAACACGTCTTACTAACTCTAACACGTCTTACTAACTCTAACATGTTTCACTAACCCTAAAACGTCTTACTAACGCTAACACGTCTTACTAACTCTAACATGTTTTACTAACGCTAACACGTCTTACTAACTCTAACACCTTAAACTAACCCTAACACGTTATATTAACTCTAACATGTCATACTAACCTTAACAGGTTATGCTAACCTTAACACATTATACTAACGCTAACACGTTTTACTAACTCTAACACGTCTAACTGACTCTAACATGTTATTCTAACTCCAAAATGCTTTACCAACTCTAACACGTCTTACTAACTCTAACTTAAACTAACCCTAACGCGTTATATTAACTCTAACATGTCATACTAACCCTAACACATGAGCAGTGTCTTGTGCGAAAGTTGTTTTTAAGCTCCTAATATTCAGCATAGTTAACCCGTTTATCATTATTCTGTGCTCTCATATCCAGTAAGATTATCACTGGCTGCATTAAGGTATTAAAGCAGAAGTTTGCTCTGCTGTGTTGTTGTTGTGACAGAGACGGGCTGCGATGGCTAAAGCGGGTACAGATGGCAGCACTACAGCGGGCAGCCCGGCTGATGGCTTCACTGTCCTCTCCTCCAAAAGCTTGTTCCTGGGCCAGAAGGTAAAGCTGCTTTCATTAGATTACACTCTTACTACAGTAACTGCTCCTTTTTTTAAATAATTTGCTTTCGTCTATCCGCTCTTCTGCTGAGACTAGCTGCTAAAGTCCAAAATCGCCTTGCTGTTTTATGAAACATCTGTAGCTATTAGGGGTGTAACGATGCACTTGTAACTTAATGCATCGATCACAATTCCTGCTGATTCATACGCATTGATCTTGAAATATGACTTGTGAGTCATTTGTTTTGGTCAGTAATCAATTTAAAATGCTAAATGGAGACTGAATTGCACTCACTGATCACAGGACAGCCACTGATTTTCTTTGTCCTTTGGAGCACAAATAAAATCTTTCAAAACATCTTTCAAAATACCTTCTTTTGGTTTCCACGAAAAAGGTCATACTGGTTTGGTGCAACCTGAGTGCGAGTAAATGTGATTATCAAATGATGAATGATGATATTTGTATTTCTCTCACCAGGAAAAAAAAAGAACAAAATCAAATATCTGAGACAGGGACCTCTGGTAGAGTCGACACTGAATGGCCTATTTACCTGGGATGAAAATTGAAGATATGAATTCTTGTTTTCTGAGAATTTGAACAAAATGAAGTGAGTTTATGCTTAAAACAAGAACAAATGTCTGTCAACGGGGAATGAAAATGCTCCGGTTACTAACATAACCTCGGTTCCATGAGATAGGGGAACGAGCATTGTGTTGAACACTTATAGGGGTAAACTCCTGTTTACTCTCATACTGAAGTCTGATTTGTTCACATTCGTGTACAAATGGCGCTTCAGCCCACCAAAACGGGTGGAGCTGACTGCTATATAACTCGGCTCTGAGTGCCATTCGCCAAAATCTTTCAACTGACAGCGACAGTCGTTGACTTGCATGCAGCCTTATAGCACAGCGGCGTATGCAACACTCGTTCCCTTATCTCAGGGAACCCAAGATCACACTAGTGACCGTTCAACCTGTTGCATTGAACGATTATGGGAACGCATCCAATAGCGCTGTGCTATAAGCAAGTGCAGAACGAAGCCGCTCTGCGAGCCCAGCCCCAGAGCGTCCGTAATGAGGGCTCCTAAAAGGCTAAATCCGTGCCTGTAGGGCAGGGGCATCCAAGTTATAAAATCTGGCAAAGGCAGATGGCGAAGACCAGCCGGCTGCCGCACAGATATTACCAATTGAACTCCACTGGACCAAGCCCAACGCCACTCCCGCGGTCCCTGGCGCTTAGGAAAAGTGATAGTGTTTAGCCGTCTGAGGGCTGTCGGAGCCCAGGCCCTGATTTTAACCGAGGCTGAGCTGGAGACAGTGAGGGCTTTGCAGGCTGCTGGGAAGATGGAGCCTTTTGGCTACCTGAACAAGCTGCAGAGCTGGAGCGCTTAGGCGGGAAGTAGCGCATGACCTGCGACGACTTCTGTGCTGCAGTGAAGTGCTTTGCAAATACGTCTATGACGAGGCCGCATAACCTTGTAGGGGAGACGGGAGTCGAGGAAGGCGTCCTTGATCTCCTTCAAATCCACGCACCACCAAGCTGGCCATGGCCCTGCCGATTGCATGCACAGCAGGCTTAGTAGCACGCAGAGCCAGGTCAGTTGCTGCACACAGCTCCTTAATTATTTATTTATTTATCACAACAAATGGCCAAGCAAAGCGCACAACACTGACAAGGTACGCGATATAGTACGAGACCAAACGCAACATCAATTCCAATTCATGGCATCCAACTAATCCTCCTTCAGATGGAGAGCTTGCCATATCCCATTTGCCATCAACAGAGGTGAGGGTGGCAGAATTAGAAGAGAAGCCACACCTTGGTAAGTTCATCGTGAACTTCCAGGAAAAAACAGGTCGTCTTATATTCAGGGTCTAGACTTTGACATGTCAATAATACACCCACAACAATAGATGGCGCCAAATACGCATAAAACGAGTGTGCCATGAAATACATAATGTAAGGCGTGTTGTAAAGATCGCGAGTAAAAACAAAAGAAGCAGAAAACCTTATAGCTGCATGAGTCGTGACTGTCACGTTAGCATGATGGCACCAAACTCCCTTTGTGATTTTAAAAGAAAAGCTTACAGCTGCATGAGTCGTGACTGTCACGTTAGCCTGATGGGACCAACTCTACTTCTGCTGTTAATAAGATTTTGGTAGGCTACTATTAGATGGATAGCGTAAATGTCCTAATTCAGATGGGCTACCTGTTTTTTTTGTTTTTTTTATGGTATATCAAGAAGTGTATATTTTTTAAATGTGATTTGTTGGTACATTTTACCAGTTTTTATCATACTTTCAAAACAAAAATTAAAATAGGAAAAATATGCAATATGAAAATAATTGAAGACAAAATGTGTTTTACTGAGAAAAAACAAGATTTGGTTTTTAAAAAGCCTTTTTCCAAAAGGTACATCTGGAAAAAGGGGGGTCGTCTTATAATCAGGGTCGTCTTATATTCGGGCCAATACGGTAGTTTGCTATCTGTGCCGGCCTGTGTTAATTCATTGGGGAGAAGGGTGCCAGGATCCTCTCCGGAATATGCCCAATCCTCTAAATCTGAAGCTGTCAGTGAATATAGAGTCATCAGTGACAGCATTCTCCTCCAGCCTGCATAAAAAAATCAAACCGTTCGTTGCTCTTCTACGGCAAGCAGCAGGCTTCGAGCTTCTTGTTTCAGAGTCCATCGAGGAGATGATCTTTGCGCTGAAGGAGAAATTTCTGACGAATGGCGCTCAGAGCTGACTTATATAGCAGTCGGCTCCACCCATTTGGCAGACTGAAGCACCATTTGTTTGTGCAGCTACACAAATGTGAACAAATCAGACTTCAGTATCAGAGTAAACAGGAGTTTACCCCCATAAGCGTTCCATGCAATGGGAGAGACCGTTCAATAGGAAACTTGGTTTCTTTGAATTAAGTTGATTTTTCTGGGCCTATTGGCAGATATTTGTTCTTGTTTTAAACATAAACTCATGTAATTTTGATCAGTTTCTCAAGAAAACAAGACTTCTTATCTCATGTCATTTTGCATCTGTATCTTGATTTAAGAAATGTGATCTAATGGAACAGTGAACGTTATTTCTATATTCTAGTGTTTCTGATCAAAGCTATTAAAGCCTTAAGCTCATTTGTAAAATGTTTTAAAAAGTAGCGTAATAGAGATCTGTTGGAAGTTGTATTTTCATCAGAAATGAATCAAAACAAAACAGCTAATGCGATGTTTAGTTTGACCTCTTATGGTTAAGCACAACACATTGACTGACCATTGACTGACACATACAGTAAGGCAAATACAGAGTGTTTCTACTGTCAGTTTGTGTCATTAACGTGCAAAGAAGCCCACTGTCACGCTGACCAGCAAACATTATTCTGTGCAGCTTTCTTGGAAACTGATGTAAGACATTTAGAGTTTTGTTTGTAGCGTGTGGCCTGCTGTGTAACGCCTCTGCTTTACTCTGTCCTGATCTCTCTCCATCCTGCTGCTTGATCTCTCCACAGCTCAATCTCATTCACAGTCAGATCACTAACCTAACTGCCTTTTACGTGGAAGGGGTTATCAACCCCACCAATGCTGACTTTGACCTTAAAGATGATTTAGGTGAGCGCTTATAGCTGCCATGGAGACTCATGTTCATTCAGATGCTGTAGATCTGCTTTTATGGATCCAGCAGTTCACATCTGGGTCTAATATGGCAGTTTTTGGCTGCCTGGAAATCCATGTGAACAGAACTCTGGTTAAAGCCAACATGGTCAGTTTTGTCCATATTCAATCACATTTCCAGGGTCTTTAACTGGTAGATGGGCTAAACTCACACGTCCAGGTCACATTTCACCCCGAAATCAAAAGAAAACAATAATAATCCAATTATCTAGTAGAATCCACCCCAAAACTGTAATGAAATAAATAAATCTCATTCTCATTACTGTCATGGTTTTGTAATTAGCGGCCAAGAACCAAAGGTGCGTATGCACCTATTGTGTCGTCGTCGTCGTCTTCTTCTTCTTCTTCCGCTCTTGAGTCTATGGCCGCCCATAGAACCGTATGGTAAGTAATTATGAAATTTGGCACACAGATAAAGGACAGTCTCAACATGTAGCACACCAAATTTGGAGTCTCTAACTCAAACCCTCTAGCGCCACCAACTGCTCAAAGCTGCACTTACATTTGTGCTAATAACTTTTGAACCATTAGGGCTAGAAACAAAATCCGTCCTATGGTCACACCCTAAAACACCCAATGCCGTAATTTCCCACAATTTAGTATTTGTCTTTTTACGAACTCTTCCTAGACCTTTTGTCTAATTTTCATGAAAATCTAACCATATCCGCTTCAGACCATGTCAATTAAAAAACATTGAAATCAAGTTGATCCGTCAAACCATTTCTGAATGAGCGTGAACAAATTTGTCGAAGAGCTCTCCAAAGTGGACATAAGGCTATATCTCTGCAACGCTTTAGCGTATTCAAACCAAACTTGGTGGGTGTTGTAATAACCATGACCTGAGAGTATCTGCACAGTTTTGGCGCAGCGCCACCTAGTGGTCAGAAGATGTGAAAAATGGCTATTTTAGCAAATAACTTCTTAAGGGTTTGGCCCAAAATCACAAGACTGGTCACAAGACATTCGGAGAGGCAGAATGGTACCCAATTTTCCTATGTCCACCATTTCTGGTGTCGGCCATTTAGAATTTTGTCGAAAAATGCAAGATTTTACAAACTCATTGGCGTATCATTACAAAATTACATGTGTATGTGTTTTCAGCACCATACCCTGATGGTACTCATAAAATTTTGTGGCAGCCCCACCTATTGGTCAAAAATGATAATGAAATAAAAAAATGAACATAACTTTTGATTAACTTTGCCTATTGGCATGAGACTTTCCTTGGATTATGGCGAGAACGCCACAAAACACAGAGAATACCAAAACACATCAATTTGGTAACAGTGCCACCTATTGGTCAAAACTGATAAACCTTTAAATCATATTACTAATGATTGAATTTATTATTTTTTTAGCCAGTCTGAGTAAAATCACCTTAAAATGTCATTAATTACTCATTGTTGAGGTTGGTCTGATTGCTCCTCATTCTGCCTCTCTTGTGCTTGGCCCCTTAATTGGTTCTTGCGGCTACATTTCCCTTTATTCTCAGTGTTGATTCTTAATACTGTAGTACATATCACTGTCTTTATGCCATTTTGCACATATTGGACAATTTCGATACATTATTTTGTTTTTGAGAGTGATGGTTAAAATAGCCACTGTACACACATCTTTCCTCATTAAGTATACAATAGTCAACATTTGAAGTGGATCAAAAAAGTTAATCAAAGTTAACCTAAAACCAAAATGGACTCTTGTCTTAGGACAACTTTGATGAACTTTTTTGATCCACTTCAAATGTTGACTACTGTATATATTTCATATCACCTCCTCCTGATTTGGTGGTAAAATGTGACCAGGACAGGTTGATGAGATTTACCCAGCAGGTTTTTAGGATCGATCCGTCATCTCATGAATGGATTCAGCAGTCTTGTATGTATGTGTTTGTGTTACTTTTGTCTTTTCCAGACAAACCGGTCTTTGTCTACTCGTCATGGTTTCACCTCATTCTCCACAGCTTTTGTCTCTCACTGTATTTGTTTGCCTGTTGTTGTAGCTGCAAGTTGTGCAAGCTGACATTGCCAGCATCGAAAGTGAAGCGGTTGTTCACCCGACCAACTCCACCTTCTACATAGGTGGTGAAGTAGGTAAAGGAGCAGTTCTGCAGAAAACACCACAGCTCTGCCACTTTGACTCAAAATTAATATTGTTAATGCCATCTTATAATATTTGCTCATTGAAAATAACAAGGTATGCAACATGTCTAAATAGCGCGGTTGTATTCATGCATAGATTTGATATTAGATTTGAAATGATGACAGAATTGGTATTTTTGGGTGAACTGTAAAGCATGGCAGTGATTCTGCACACTGTTTGTGATTAAGATGCTCTTGTGTCTAAAGCTGGTGTCACTCGACTCTAAACAACAGACGGAGTGTCGCAATAGGAAAGAATCTGCAAATTCACTTCACTGAGTGCAAACGCACACATCGCTACCTCGCGTACCTACAGAATGGCCGTGACTCAACATATAGCTTAACGTATAACAGCCAGTACATTTGCATAGTCATTATTCAGACTCGTCTGTTAGTTCTGCCTGGGGATGAAAAATCATCCTCATTTGTTAGAAGTCTGTCACAATCATGGCTGAAGACTGGAGACTTCAATCAAAAACAGACGCACTTTAGCAGCAAATCAATATAAAGTTGACTGAAATACGAGTTGAGTTCCACTCAAAACATAAACTGTTGTAAAAGACTGAATTAGGATGAAATTTGTTGAATGGCTGCACAGTATTGGAAAAAACTATGATATATATATATATATATATATATACAAGAATTTTGTATGTATTTTTAATGTAAAAGAACCACCTCAAAAAATCTTGTTTAATAGCCGTAAGATGAAGTTTTTTTTTTTTTATTATTATTTTTAAAAACAATATTAAGCAAGACTAGAAATATATTACTTTTATTATAATACTATATACAGTGAAAGCAGCGGATCGTGAGCTGCTCACTGCTCAATTCAGTAATGAATCCGACACGCTGGGTTAGGGTTAGGGTTAGGGTTAGGGTTCGCTGGAGTGACGGCAGCTTTAAACACACGTGTGCTCAGCATCACAGCTCAGTGTCTCTCTCAGGCAGTGCTTTGGAGAAGATCGGAGGAAAGCAGTTTGCAGAGGCAGTTCTGGAGCTACGCAAGAGCAACGGCCCTCTGGAGGTGGCAGGAGGTACATTTACACCCGCTATTACATCTGATCACGAGCTGCGTGAAGTCAGTTCCAGGTGTGAACGGGGTCCGTAATGAGAGACAAGATGCTGCTGTTGAAAAAGTCTGATAACGGTTGTTATTAAAATGCTTTGTCATGCTCTTCAGCCATGCTTTAATGAATTCTCATGGCTTACTTTTTTATTCAGATAAGAGAGTTGATCTTAAGGAGTTGTTGTTAATTGTGGATAAGTTGCAGTATGTTTGATAAGGTCATTTATCCTGATAAGTTCATTATCTTTGTTGTTCCTCAGCGGCCATGACCTCAGGATACGGTCTTCCTGCCAAGTTCGTCATCCACTGTAACAGTCCAGGCTGGGGCTCGGATAAATGTGAGGAGATGCTGGATAAGACGGTGAAGAACTGTCTGGCTCTCGCTGATGAGAAGAAGCTCAAATCTGTGGCCTTCCCTTCCATCGGCAGCGGCAGGTACAACTTTAGTTGTAATAAATACAGTAATTAAAGTAATTTATTGCCCTAGGGCCAGATTTACTAAACAGGGCAAATTAGTGTTAGATCGCAATTTCATAAAAGCGCCGATGGGAGGGGAAATTCTGCGAGTGATTTACTAGCAATGCACACATTAATAAACACAGACGCAGCAGATCATTTCCATAATGACCAGCGTGATCTACCAAGAGCAGCGCAAATTACCCTCTGCTTTAAGACATGCTTTTTTTGGCTGTTATATAATGGCGCAAATACTAGTAATTTGACGAGCGCAAACGTTGCATGATTCATTTGAATACTCTCCTCCCATAAATTTTGCGTCTGAAAGGGAAACTCCTATAAATGCATATTCAATAAGGTCAGGCGCAAAAATAACTGTCCACATCTTTTCAGAGCTAATTATGACTGTACTATTTTAACGCCAAAAGATGGTTTGCGCTGGCGCAAGCTATTAGTAAAATTGACATTGAAATGTAAATTCACTCAATTCAATTCAATCTGTTATTTAAATGCAGCTTATTGTGACCAATTTGGTTCTTTTTTTGACCACGTTTGTCCTCCTAAACTCCGCCCACTGCATGCTTACGCTCATCTGCATATGCTTAAGAGCCACGCCCACACTTCAACATCCAATCAACAACTGGTACATAAAACCAGGTCCCGCACTACATTTTTGTTTTTCATTCAAATGTACATCATAATATTGAAGAAAAAATTTGTAGAAGTTAGTAGTTAATAGGTTAATTTAGAATTAAAGGGATATATTTAAACCTCAACTAACAATATTAATAATAGATGTTGCAAAATGCATGTTGTGCATAATGTAACGGGGAAATGGGAAAATGTACAGACTGATTAGTTCGAAAATGATATACTTAGTAGTTTTCTCATCCATTTGAGATGCTAAATACTAATAGCTAAATGATGATTCTTTTTGCCGTTTGCCATCAGGTGGTTGTTGAAGTGTAACGGTTCCTGAATACTGTGACGCTGCATGCTTTGCTGTGTTTCTCCTCTGTAGAAACGGTTTTCCGAAGCAGACGGCCGCTCAGCTCATTCTGAAGGCCATCTCCAGCTACTTTGTGACAACGATGTCATCCTCCATCAAGACGGTGTACTTTGTGCTGTTCGACAGCGAGAGCATCGGGATCTACGTGCAGGAAATGGCCAAACTCGACGCCAACTGAAGTAGAAAATCCTCTGTAGATTTCAGAGGTGAAAAAATTATTATTTTATGCTTGATGATGACGTTTGGGGGGTAAAATATTTTTGGTACTTTATTATAACAGCAACAGTTTGGAGTCTTTGATTTGATTTGATTTTTAACAGAGGGATTGGGTTTTGTGTCGGCACTGCGACTACTGCATAATTTAGTCTAGTTTGTTCTGTTGTTTCAATGTATAATGTGTATCACAATGTTAATTTGCATAAAGTGTATCTACAATAATTGAAAACTAAATATATATATGAAGTGCATAACTTGTGTAATTTGTGACTGCTGTCAGCAGATGGAGCCCTTTGTCCAGTATTATATTTAAAATGAGGTCATCTTACATTGAACACAGACAAAAGAGGAACTGTGAAGGAAACATTGGGATAAGTTAGTTTATTTCATACATCCTTTCAGCTCCTGTGATGTTTATCCATGTGAATTATGATAGCTTCGGACTCATTAGAGATGAATACTAGAGTATTCTTGTATGTCGGGCAGCAGTTTCGTTGGGTTGATGGTGTAGAGCTTCAGCTCTCAGTTTCTCAGCTCTTTCCCGAGCTCTTATCGGTTATTGGCAGTCAGCGGCGGGTCAGTTTCCCAGCGCAGACCTCCTCGAAGGGCACCATCTGAGGACTAATCCACAGGAAATACGGGCAGCTCTCTCCTCGCAGGAAAATCTCCCTAAATTCAAAGCATCTGTAGGCACGGGTTGGAAAAGGGCCGCTTTCCCAGAGCTCCGGCAGATGATTTTTTATTCTTTGCATGTAGAAAGTAAGCCCGGCGGGGCAGAGGACTACATGAAATTAAAACAAACATCAGCGGGATCAGGGAGGGTAAATAGCCAGTCATCATGCCAGTGTACATGAAAGGAGTGCAATGTATCCGTCATTTTGAGTGGATGCGGTGAATCTGTTTGTTGATCGCTCGTACTCGTGAAGAATGTCGATGCAATATACTCACAGCCGCTCAGATGTGACTTAGTGCGAGAGAAAAGCAAACTAGGAAAATCCTCATGTGGTACGAATTCACTTCTTTAAACTATATTTACTTATATAGGGCAGTGTTAAATCTCTAATCTGAGGCTGTACTCATGAAAGCCACGAAGCAGCTTGATGTATAAATGCTGGGCATGTGGGAAAACACTCTAAGTCAGACACCTATGGAGGAACTAGTGCATGAAAGTTAAAGAGTAATAATCATTCTTAGTAAAACAGTTAACCTCCTTTTGGTGAAAATATGTACATTTTGAGCACATGCTTAAAGCATCCCATGCGTTTCGTAACATACAATTATTCAGTCATCCGACTAGTTCATTACAGACAAACATAAAATAGAAAGTATGCTTGTCCTGAAGGAATGATGGCGGCCGTATTAACATGATACCTCATCGTCTTGATTCTGGGGTTGAATAATAATACATGAGGATTCCTGTAGGGCCTTTGCTGCATTCAGGGCTCTTCATGTTCATATGAAGCTCAGGAGACAGTCATCTCACACCTCTGGACTGAGAGTCCGAATCTTACAGCAGATTTTATCCTGCGGCTCTTTTACTAAGCCGATGGGAACTTGTGCTTTTGGCTCCTGCGAGGTCCTGTACTGCTTTGATCCTGAACCTCCTCCAATATATATCAACACTTGTAGGATTGTGTGGGCCTACAAACCAAACTGTGATAGTTGGCAGCAAGGTGGTGCTATAATCAATATGCGTCAATGCTTATATTTCAAGAATCTTATGGGCTGGAAACTCCTTTCACCGAATTTTGTAGTATTTAAAGCCATTTTAATGTTTTGGAAACCTCTTTTTTATACTCTAACTAGACTGTCCATCTGATTGACATGAGATTTGTGTAAAATTAGTGGAAAACATTATCAAAAGAATTTTGATTATCCGCTTTGCCTGGCAAGTTTGAGTGAGTATATATTTTCTGGATGTGGCCCATGATGACTTTTTGCCCTGTATGTTGGGAACCCAGTGTCCAAACCTCACAAAACTTGGAACACATGGACACTAGGACAATATGAAGAGGCACACCAAATTTCATCCATTTTCAAAGCTTGTGGCTGCTATAGTTTAAGAAAGTTTGATCAAGGAAATTGAAAATTACAACCAGAGTTCATGTTCTTCCTTTTCTGAAAGGTTTTTAAAGTCATGTTCATCCTTTTCCAAAGTATTTGGACCCCATTAATTGTCACTTACACTATGTTTTTGGTTTTCCATGTATGGTTTATTTCTCTTAAAAACATTGTACTGTACTGCATGAGAACTCCAGAAGCTCAGTGATTTTTCAAGCACTGGGTTCATCACAGAAATCCCACCATTTTGCTCAAGAGTTGCATTAAACCCTAATACAATTTCACTCACAAATTCACACATGCAGTAACTAAATTTTGTATTGAAAGTAAGGAACATGGTCACACATTTCCAGCTCTCAGAATCATTCAGTAATGGCGATGCTTCATTGCAGTGGACCATACCCTGCTGCAGGAGACTACAGCTTGCACAATCCTCCTGGTTTGTGCATTAAACGGCTGGTCCTGTGTGCTTTTATTGGGCTGTGAGGGTCTGGAGGTGAATCTGGAGTCTCTGTGAGTCCAGGGTTAATCTGTAGGCCAGATCAAAGGGTCACCTCCACAGATAAAGCCTGGCCCGTCAGCTTTTCCCTGCTATCTGCAAATGGTTAAACACAGCGTGATTGACTGCATTCAGCCTGGAATAGAACAGAGGAAGCAATGCATCTTCACACAGCAAGTTTGAACACGTAAAAGCACAAGAGACATTCGAGAGCTGCAGCAGAGGGGAAGATTTGCAATGGATAACAGCTCATTTAAGTCTGTTCCTCACACAAAGCCATCGTGTGAAGCTAAAAATCATCTGTGGAGTCTGTGAAAGTAGACTCATGTATGTGGCCGCTGCTTCTCTTAGGTCTTGAGCTTTGCCACACAGGATGAGCCCGTCTGCTGAGGGATTTGGTGTATCAGGATGACCTGCGTTAATCCAGAGAGTCTACAGCATTGTGTTGTCTGCAATGGTGTGACTGTCGGCGTCCTTCATTAGGAAGCCCAACACCTCCAGCTCAACCTCACACACACACACACACACTCTCATGGGACGAGACCCTCTTATCATTATCCCGTCACTCCTGTCAAACATACAAGCATTCACCACACACAGACACAGACACACCCACACACACATACACACAGCTAGACAAACAAAAGAGCTATATGTACATTTGCCTGGGGGCCATTCAGGATTTGCTGCGACAAAAGCTCTCTAACAAGCCGCTCATCCATTCCTGTGACTCCACCCGTGTGTTTTCAGCAGGAGCCTCTGAGCTCATGCATTTTGCAGGAATGCTTCGTTTGGCTTCCTCTGGGCTGTTATTGGTGCCGGAAATCAGACTCATCATCGCTGACGAAATAAAATAAACATCAGGTTATGGTGTATAGAATGACGCGGTGCCATCAGGAAGTAAAGACTGTTTATAATGCAGAGTAAATTCAGCATAACAAATGGCAGCTTGGCATGTGTTTATGCTGAACAGTTCAGTTCAAGCATTTAAAAAAAAAAAAAAAACAGCTAGCAGGTTGTCCCATTTATAACCCATGAAGCAATTAGTAGAACACTGAATTTAGTCACATTTTAGATGATTTAACTTCGCTTAGGGTGTATTGCAGAAGAACATATTTCCTAACACTTTTTTTTATTCACCGGAATATCAGCCAACACTTCAATCATCATTACATTTTACTGGGTTATACGGAATTGTAATACTACCAATATTTTGAAATCAATGATTTCTAAGAAAATGTAGAATTTATCTGCTCTTTCTGTTCAGAGCTCTCATGCATTTCAGTGGCTTGATCCTTTTGAAATCATATATAAGAAGGTGATGTCATATATCTGCTTCATCACCTGGTTCTTTTACAGTTTTTATCTGTGTTTCATTATGTTCACACTTATAATCAAGCTAAACAACTTTTGCACTCAGCTTTTACCCTGTAACATTAAATCCCAAAGCAGTGGTAACATAATCAGCACAAAACCTGCTTTTTAAGTGAACGGGGTTGTTTTTTTAAATAATAAATTAAATAAATAAAAAATATATATATTTTAATGTTGAGTTTTTTATAATTTACCAATTTAAAAATATATAATACATAAAATATTTACATTTAGTCATTTAGCAGACGCTTTTATCCAAAGCAACTTACAAATGAGGACAATAGAAGCAATCAAAATCAACAAAAGAGCAAAGATATGCAAGTGTTATAACAAGTCTCAGTTAGCTTAACGCAGTACACTGTTTTTTTTATTATATAATAAATAAAAAGAAAACAGAATACAAAAAGAATGTAGAAGCTAGTTTTAGTTCTTTTAATATTTAAAAAATATCTGATCTGTAATAAATTATATATATATATATATATACATTATTGCTGTATAATGTGTCATTTTTAAAAAATAATTATAATGCATTAATGAAAAATTAAGGTATAATGTGTAGGAGTGTATTGAGGAAAGCCAGCAAACAGAGGAGTCTAGTCTGGAAATGACTAAAGCTTGGAAGAGAAGTTACACAGGATATTTAGGTCAGGAAGGGTCTGCTTTTTCAGATGTAATAAAGTGCAAGATATAAAGTACAAACCTGCAGGTCCGGGCCATTCTTAAGATACTCTATTTCAAGGGGCCATCAAACACAGGTTCACTACTGTCCTGGTTGGTGTTAGTATTTTAAAACCCAATTGTACAGTCATATTGTGTTCGATTAATAAGTTAATTATTAAGGCTGGATATACAAGAAGGTCTGTGTTTAAAAGATTGATCTGAAGATGGCATACATCATTCAGATGTCTGAAAGGTAGGCAGAGATACAAAATGAGATAAAGGGATCATCAGATTGAAAAAACCGATAGAGCCGCATATCATCTGCACAGAAGTAGTACTAGAAGCTATGTGCCTTTACGATCGTGTCCATTGAGTTTGTGTAAATGGAGAAAAGAAAAGGACCGAGCACTGAACCTTGAGGTGCCCCAGTGATTAGCAGAGTCCAGTGCAGGGTTTCTCAATAGACGACCCAACCCTGTATGAGTTTTTCTTATGCTGAAGAAGAATTAATTTTGGAGAATGTGTGTAACCAAACAGGTTTGAGGTTGAGTAAATAATGATTTTTTTTTTTTTTGAGTGAACCATCCCCTTAATGCTGAACAGACCGATGCTGTTGTTTGAATGTGAGATATAAACAGGTGTGTTTGATCTGGTCTTCAGCTCCTGCTAAAGCACTGGGAATCTGATAGAGAATGACAAAGACCTGTCCCTGTGTACGGTA